AGGTTACCCCTACAAGCTGTGGTTACTCCATCCCTGGAAATGTTCAAGGGCAGGTCGCATGGGGATCTGGGGGTGGACTTAGATGATCTTTAAGGTCCCTTCCAACACAAGCCATTCTATGATACTATGATTTTATGATTCTATGATTCTATGTCCTCTTGTCCCATCATGAGTTGCCTGGGAAAAGAGACCAATCCCCATCTTGCTACAGCCTCCTTTCAGGTAGTTGTACAGAGTGATAAGGTCACCCCTGAGACTCCTTTTCTCCAGAATCAACAACCCTGGCTCCCTCAGACTCTCCTAATATAACTTGTGCTACAGCCCCTTCACCAGCTTCATTGCCCTTCTCTAGACTTGCTCCAGCACTTCAGTGTCGTCCCTGAAGTGAGGGCCCCAGAAGTGGACACAGGACTCAAGGTGTGACCTCGCCAGTACCAAGTACAGGGGAGGAAATCACTTCCCTGGTCCTGCTGGCCACATTATTTTTGATATAAGCCAGGATACCATTGACCTTCACGGCCACCTGGGCACACTGCTGGCTCATGTTCTGTTGGCTGTCAACCAGCACCCCCAGGTCCTTTACCACCAGGCAGATTTCCAGCCACTCTTCCTCCAGCCTATAGTGCTGCATGGGGTTGTTGTGACCCAAGTACAGGACCCGGCACTTGGCCTTATTGAACCGCATACAATTGGCCTCAGCCCATTGACCCAACCTGTCTGCCCAGATTCCTCTGCAGAGTCCTCCTACCTTCTGGCAGTTCAACACTCCCACCCAACTTGGTGTCATCCAGGAACTTGCTTTGGGTGCACTTGATCCCCTTGTCCAAGTCATCGCTAAAAATAATAAGCAGGGCTGGTCCCAGTACTGAGCCTTGGGGAACCCCACTAGTGACCGACCACCAACTGGATGCAGCACCATCACTCTCTGGGCCCAGCCATCTGGCCAGTTTGTAACCCAATCAAAACAGCACCTGTCCAAGCCATGGGCTGCCAGCTTCTTCAGGAGAATGCTGTGGGAGACAGTATCAAAAGCTTTGTTGAAATCCAGGTAGACTCCATGCACAGCCTTTCCCTCATCCACTAAGCAGCTCACCTGGTCCCAAAGGGAGATCCTGGGGAAGATGTGAGACAGTGGAAGCCATCCTACAGGATTTATGAGATCAGACTAGAGCTGGGCTCAGAAGTCAAGGGGTAAGGGCATTTGAAGGGAAGAGACAGAGATCCGCCTCCTTCCACGAGGTTCTGTCTGCTTTGTTTGTTTGTTTATTTTAATTACAGTAATTGTAATATAAAATGCATAAATTGACTCCTAGGTCTTCTTTTAAAGCATTGTCAGGGTGTTGTATATACAGCACATGTGGAAAATCATAACCTATAGCCAGGTGAGAAGTGGTATGCTAGGTCCTCCTTAGGACCTCTTGAGAAGGATGCAGATTTGCTCCCTAGAACATGTTGCAGTGCTGCTTCTCCCACCAGGAGAAGGTAAGCCCAGACTGAAGAGACCATCATGAACTTCTGTCTCAGTGTTCAAGTAATGTTTCCAATAAGGCTTTTGTGTGGATTTGAACTTTGGCAGTATCTAAATGAAGTAGCTATTTTGATTGACTTGCTAGTCGTAAGTCCTGAGGCTGCCTGACTCTGGAATTGATAGTCCAACCAAATAATTCCCCTGGAGATGAATATTTATTACCTTTCCCCAATGTGAAAATAATTGAACATGAATTGTATTTAAAGTGGGAAGGTCAGAAAGAATTCAGCTGTTTAGAGTCATTGACTTGTTGAGAATGTTGTTCTCTAATCTAACAAAAGCACTGAATGTATTGTGGCTAAATCGGGTTCTTCACCACCTGAGGTTAAACATCCTTTTGCATGGGTGAATTATGTGGCAGAGTATTTCTGAGAAAAATATTTAGTGGAAATATTTTTCTCAGATGCATTTCTGAACTGATTCACAAAAATATACACCAATATTTTCATAGGAATTAGGATTTTCTTAGCTCTGTTCTACAGGGGTGGAAAACATTTGACAGGAAATGTGTTATTTAGCATGTTCAGATAAGCTGTCCTCTGGTTGTTTAAGCCTTAAGATCTTATCACCTTAATAGTTATTCTTGTCAAAGCAGATACATGAGCAGCTGAGGTCTATATTTGTAGAGACCTGCCTTGAATCCTGGTATTTTATTTAGGGAAAGATGATATTGTCAAGTTGTCCCAAGAGACAAAATTTTCCACAGGAGCAAATCCAAATGGATTTTAAAAGAAGACTGTCAACCCAGAGACTGATCTTTATGACTAGTGATCTCAGTATTGTTTCTTTATGGGACATTGCTCAACATAAGGCCTGTAGATGTCTCCAGGAGAAGAGGGAAAATACAGGAAGCAACTGGTTAGGCTTGGCTTAGCAGGCTACAAGGACCAACATGGAGCAGTAAATGTTTCTAGGAGAAGGAGGAAAAGAAGGAAGCTGGAGGAAAAGACACTGGAGGTCCTGAAGGCAGCTGTAGGAGAAGGAAGGAGCGGCCTGATGGAGCTAGGACCAGAACAAGGGCAGTAGTGCCCTGCTTCCAATGGTGAATGAGTGTTGGGGCATAGTACCCTGTTTCTGGAAGTAAGGTGATGGGTTTAAAACTTTCACTGGTGGTGCAAGTGACGCCTGCAATGTCTGTGAGCTAATGTCTGGTAGGTTGAGGTGGGAGTTGGTGGTACACTCCTTCACACAACACTTAAAGCAATTGTGCCCATGACACAGTTTCACTGGTTGAGAGTGGAAAGCACGTGTGTCCTTTGTCAGGATATGACTATTTATACAAACACATGGGCCCCTCAAGCTGAAAGAGGCTGATGTTCAGGCACACATTTTGGCCATGCCTCTGACTTTACGTTTTCTCTGCACATGTCTGCACATCAGTGTGCCTCATGTTCACACTGACAACCTGAAGAGGCATTATTGTCTAAATCCCAACAGTGTGCTTGAATATGATGATGACACTATTATGCACTATTTCTGTACAAAGAAAACTGCACTGAGAAAAGCAAGGAGGATGGTAGATGGGAGCTACAGCTTACCAGGTGTGGGGGTTTGTAGGGACTACTTGTCTGGAGTTTTTAGTCATTATCTTTTCATATGGTACTTTCTCAAAAAAAGTCAGTGTAGTTCTTGTCTCTCAATTATCTGTTTGTGTGCTTGTACACATGTACACAACTATCTGTAATCTTTCCCTGTAATATTGCCAGCGTGATTTTTTAAAAATCAGAACAGTTGCTAGTAGCTCTGTCTCTGCCTGTTTCCTTTTGCAAAGAAGATTGGATTTCACAGAGCAGATCTAACCGTTCTTATTTCCCAAAATGTAGCAAAGTTTGAGCTTTCTAAAAGGAAAGATAGGAAAGGCACCTTGAGTATTATTGCTACTGCTGCTTCTTTTTAATGGTTACATGGTGACACTGCTTCGCATAGGATTACTGTCAGTGGTGCGGAGGGGATAGAAGATTGGCTGCCTTGAGGAATGAGATGAGACGATAAACGAGAGACGATGTTACCTCTGCGGCATCTGGCTCCATCTCTCAGTTTTCATTCCATGTGTTCTGCGTGGAGCCAAAGTGGGGCTTTTAGCAGTTTCTTGCCTTTGCACACCTGCCATTGTTAGGCAACAGCAAGGAGAGTGAGAGAATTGTGACAAATCTATTTTACTTAAAATAACTGTACTGTGTAAATATTCGAGGGGGTTTAGCATGCATATGTGATAAAGCCAAAAGTTCAACAGATCACCAAAGGTACAGGATACAGTGGCAGACTGATGAACAAAATTGCTATATTATTCTTTTGAAGGTATTGAAATAATTATGTTACTTATGTGCTAATATGCAGTGAACATGGTTTTCAGAGTGCTGCACTCCCGCTTAATTGAAATGAAAACCCTAAATTTCTTAGCTAAATTTTGATTTGTGCAGCAAAGGCTGAAGCTTTCTCTGAAAAAATCAAGTTCCAGTATACTGACCCCTTTGGAGTGCAGCAGTCAGAGCCAATTTGGGCCATTTTTTCTTCATATGCGTCAAAAGCGTCACAATTAAGACAGTCATGGTAGGAGAGAAAAATTGTAAAATAAGTGAGAGGCCCAACAGAGGGCTGAGAAGAGGAACTGTTTTATCTGACCTCCACTTGTCAGAGTACATTTTCTTCTGCAGGCAGGGCCATGTGGATAATTCTCAAGCTTGCACCTGACATCAAACAGGCAGCTGCTCTACCAGTGGTTTTACCTTTTCACTCTCCAAAGTTGTGTCTATCCAAGATAATTTAAGTAAAAATGTTATCCCTTAAAAACCTCAGTAGTGAGATATTTCAGTGTTCTATTGAAACTTTCCTGTAATAGTCTTTCTGTTATTCGATGTCTGTTCCTTTCAGGGAAGGGTAATTAAAGAGCCAGAGGAGAAAAGAATCAAAGAATGTGTCTCACCTCTCTGGCATATTTTCAACGGATTCAATTAGGGACATGCAAAACAAAATTCCTTTAAAAACATGATTGATGTTGGAGCTTTAACAAGGTGCTGTCATTGGATACAGAGGCTTTTTATTAATACATGTTGCTAGAAATGTCTGGGACGGGACACCAGGCTGTTGACAGTGTTTGTGTGTTGTATATGTTTTACACAAAGAGATGGGCTATTCTGCATTTTGTTTCTTCTCTCATTGGTTCATTTCTTTAATCTGAACTGAAACTGAAAGATCTTACTGTGAGGCAAGCAGTTTTGGGTGAAAAGGGCTGTTAAGAAAATCTACCTTGAAGGAGAGTATTTTACATACAGAATGTTATTTTCGCTAGAATTGAAATACTTAAAAACTGGTGGTTGTACCCTATACTATGCATACTACAGAGGCCTGGGAAACCATTCATTATCATTTGAAGTACCTGAATTTCTGTATATATATGTACATATATAAACATGTATATGTACATATTTCATGTGCATACATTCATCTATACTCATATACATCTAGATGATATGTCAGTATGTATATATGATATATGTATGACAATACTATCAAGAAGAGTGGTAAAATGCTGTTAATATTTCCTATCAATAGCCTTTAGAAGTAGGAGCTGTTTGTGACAGAAGGCAGGCTCCTTGTCACGTATAGAGAAGGAAAATAAACCGTGAAATCTTTTTGTTCCTTTTTTGTTTTGGACGTTTGTCTATAAATAGACTAAATGTATTTTATTTTCCTCTCTTTATTTATTTATTAATTTAATAGTGATTAGCTGCCTGTGCACAATGCAACTCTGATGAAATTAAAAATTTGATGGCTTTTAGTAAAAGGTTATAGCTACATCTTGCATACAGATACCTGTAGATTTGGGGAAGCCTAAGGTGGTCTGGCATGGTGTTGGAAAAAGTTAAAGTGTAGGTACTAGTCAACAGTTTAAAACACATTCTGGAAATAAATACAACGACATTTTTCACCAACCTTCTAAAGAAGACTCAGGCAGGCAGTAGTTTAAGGGTTACAAAGAACCAGAAATTCTGTTCAGGAAGCACCGAAGAAAATAGTTTAATAAATTGGTTAATTGTGATTTGTTTTAAGCCAAAGAGAAGTTGGGGGGGTTTCACTTTTTTTCCTAAAGATGTCTGAGATTTTTACCTAGAACTGAGGATAAGCATAGTAAATACTTTCACCATGAATCGGATTTGAAACTGCAAGCACTTCTGTACATGAATGACGTTACTGAGATTTGTGCGTGACCAAGTAGCACATGTGATTTGCTCTGCACCATGACTTCATCTTTTGCTCATATCAGAGAGCTGAGAGCTGGCCCTGGCTGGACTCTAGCATTACTTAAATGGTTTTGTACAGGTCTTAACTCAGACACTGTTTTTTTGTGATGCTTTTACAAACAGCACTGAACATAGTCTGAGCAGCAAGTCCATTCACAAAAAATTGCACCCAGATAATAGATCTTTCAAAACTGCTTGTGTGATTGCTTTGCTAACACCACCAGCAACTTAAAGCATTGAAGAATTGTCCAGTAAATAAAAGGTACTGCTAGAAACTGCTAATAAAGTTTAGAGAACCACCTGGTGACAAATTTCAAAAAGAGCAGTCTTTCAACAGAAATGACGCTACTTTAACACAAGTAGGAAAATTATCCAAGGGGTAGAAGATGAAAGATTCAGAAAATCTAACTTTATATAGTGACACACTCAGATACATTTCCTGTAGGTCTAAAGTGAAAATTGCCATTTAAGAATAGAGATTTCGAATAAATGGCAGAGTTGGCAGAAGGAACTGCAGGACCTTGGATTTTGGAGAAAATACGTTAGCACAAACATACTGTGTATATATTGCCAGGAATAAGGAGAAAAGGGCAATAAGGTAAAACATTTGTCTGAATATATGTCTCAAGACCTGCATTCAGACAATGGAGTTTTTCCACCCATTATATCAGAGCCTTTAGACGAGATCAGTAAATTTACCGTTTGAAAACAGCTAGGTAAAATATAGCAATTTTTTTCAATGGAAGAGCTGTTCAGATTAGAGACATTGTAGGGTGTGAAAGAAAATGTTTGGGACAAAATATCTGAAAAGCAAGAAACTGGGTAACACTGTTAGGAAACAACATTTTTTCAATTGAAGAATCTCCTTAAATTGGCCAAATGCCTTTGCAACAGATAATGAGCTATATTTCCTGACTACTGAGTCTGAGAAATTCTTAATTGCTCATAAATCCATGTACTGGAAAGTTTAGAACATTTAATGAGTTGGCAAAAGACTTCAAAGAAAATGATTTCATACAGACTGAATTACTAGGAACTAATGGACAATGGGTAAATAAGAAGAACTGCAGCTGACATCTGATTTAGGACAAAAACCCCATACATTTTGGAGATTAAATCTTTCCTTCATGGTCAAGGATATTTGTCTTCTACAGTGATGATGACTTCTACATATAGTTTGAGGCATGAATTTCAAACAATAATACATATATTGCCTTACTGAAAAATGATCTTGGACTCTTCATTTTCCTCACGTGTGTCTTTAGTTGCCTGAAACAGAAGGAGTCACATAAAGGACAACAGCACTGTATAATTGTGAGTGACAAAAGATAGTCAGGTCTTCACATGGGTGCATCCTCCCATGCACTCACATACACCCACATTATCACATATTTCTTGCACCTGAACGAGAGTTTTCTACTACTCTGCTACAACACCTCATTGCTGTAAGTTATTTTTGTTTCTCTATTCTTTGAGGGAGAGTTTGATGCAGCCTGACTTGTTCATGTAGAAAAATGTATCTTTTAGAGTATTGTGCCTTCACCTGTGATCTTGAAATTAATTCTTTGATTGGGATTCCGTTGCATGTCTCATCACCTCTTTGAAATCTATGCATCTTCCATTAGAAGAGTGTTCAGAAGTTCCTCCTTTACATCTCAGCTAGTATTTGTGAAACCAATGTTTCAAACCTACCATAAAAGTTGAAACATTGCAGAAAAAAGCTTACAGACATCAGATAGTAAGAGCAGCACCAGCAAATCATAGAATCACAGAATTCTTAAGGTTGGAAAAGACCTTTAAAATTGAGTGCAACCGTCAGTGTAGCACCACCACCATGTTCATCATTAAACCATGTTCTCAAGTGACACATCCACAAATTTTTTTAACACTTCCAGGGATGGTGACTCCAGCACTTCCCCGGGCAGCACATTCCAATGCTTTTAAAACTTTTCAAGGAAAAAATTTGTCCTGATAGCTAATCTAAAACTCCATTTCCTCTTGTCCTGTCTCTTGTTACCCAGAAGAAGAGATTGACATTGATAAGGTTTCCCCCCAAGCTGCCTTTTCTCCAGCTGCTCCTTGAAGGACTTGTGCTACAGCCCCTTCACCAGCTTCATTGCCCTTCTCTAGACTTGCTCCAGCACTTCAATGTTGTCCCTGAAGTGAGGGCCCCAGAAGTGGACACAGGACTCAAGGCGTGACCTCACCAGTACCAAGTACAGGGGAGGAAATCACTTCCCTGGTCCTGCTGGCCACATTATTTTTGATATAAGCCAGGATACCATTGACCTTCACGGCCACCTGGGCACACTGCTGGCTCATGTTCTGTTGGCTGTCAACCAGCACCCCCAGGTCCTTTTCCACCAGGCAGATTTCCAACCACTCTTCCTCCAGCCTATAGTGCTGCATGGGGTTGTTGTGACCCAAGTACAGGACCCGGCACTTGGCCTTATTGAACCTCATACAATTGGCCTCAGCCCATTGACCCAGCCTGTCTGCCCAGATTCCTCTGCAGAGTCCTCCTACCTTCTGGCAGTTCAACACTCCCACCCAACTTGGTGTCATCCAGGAACTTGCTTTGGGTGCACTTGATCCCCTTGTCCAAGTCATCGCTAAAAATAATAAGCAGGGCTGGTCCCAGTACTGAGCCTTGGGGAACCCCACTAGTGACCGACCACCAACTGGATGCAGCACCATCACTCTCTGGGCCCAGCCGTCTGGCCAGTTTGTAACCCAACAAAAACAGCACCTGTCCAAGCCATGGGCTGCCAGCTTCTTCAGGAGAATGCTGTGGGAGACAGTATCAAAAGCTTTGTTGAAGTCCAGGTAGACTCCATGCACAGCCTTTCCCTCATCCACTAAGCAGCTCACCGGGTCCCAAAGGGAAATCATGTTGGTCAGGTAGGACCTACCTTTTCTAAACCCATGCTGGAGGGGCCTGATCCCCTGATTGTCCTGCACATCTTGCATGATGGCACTCAGGATAATCTGCTCCACGACTTTCCCGGCACTGAGGTCAGGCCGACAGGCCTGTAGTTCCCTGGATCCTCCTTTCACAGAGATAAGATCATGTTTCCCGTCATTTGGTCAGCTGGGACCTGTTTAATTGACCAAGACTGCTGGTAAGTGATTGAAAGTGATTTGGTGAATGATGTATGAATAAAATCACATAGTGTGCCACCCTATATTCACTTTGAAAAAGATCTCATAAAAAATATCTCTGTGAACATGTTACAGTATATGGAATGACTCTACTAAGCCATGTAAATAAAGTTGTCCAATTCAAGTTTTGCCATCTCAGAAGTTACTGCATAACATCCCAACTAATGGTCTGTGAGAAGTCCTTAAAAAATCCAGTTTTCCTAAACTGGAATAAACCCAGTGGTTTATCAATGACTATATAAACACAGTAAGACAAACTATATCTTGTGTAATTTTCATGTTCTGTAAATATTTAGAAAACAGATATTCTAGAAAACTCAAAACTATCATGATGACTTAGAACGATTATGTGTTGTATGTACTAAAAATGAAGCAGCCTGAAAAACCGAGATCTTTTAAAAATAAATATTAATAAAACAGTTATATATTGGCTTTGCTACGATGTAACAATTCTACCGCTAGGACTGAAAATATTTTTGAAACTGCAACAGCAGAACAGGTATCTGATTGCTCCTCAGCATTTATTTTCAATTTCTCAGTTCTTAAAGGCCACCCTACACCAGATCAGTTTTTAGTAAAGATTATTTCCTCTTTTGTGGATGAACAGGTCTGCTTAAAGAGAGAACAAACTAGAACCAAAGCTTAGCCAGCTCTTGATCCTTGTTCTCTCCTCTCCTTCGCAGAGGAAGATTCAGTGGCCTTCAACCCGGTTTCTACTTGACTCGTGGTGTCATTGAGCAAGAGTACAGCGTGTTTAAGGCTTTCCTCCGTAGCACAAAAGTTCTGGCAATTTAGATAGAATCTCAGCATAAATTTTATTCTTTTTAATGTGTAGACCACAACTGAAAAAGTCATGGAAAACTGAAACCTTTTCTAAACCATCTGCCCTCAAGTTTATTCAGTGCTCTCCATCAGTCTAGAAATTTGGTCTCCCTTCTTAGGGGACTCTGACATGGTGCATTTCTAAAGTAAAAGGTGACACCTGCTGTGAAAGCAATGAAGATAATTAGTGTGTCCAGCTTCAAATAGTTTTCAATCTTTCAGTGATTATGGATGCTTCCTATCAAAACTGTCCAAGATGCTGTAACTTTTATATGGATTTCTGCAAAAAGATAAACCTTGGAAGTTGCTGGACCGTAAAATAGCAGTACACTATAACACTGGCAAACTTTTAAAAGATAAATCTTGGCAGAGCCACTGGACTGTACAGTATTAACACACTCTGACATCATTGGTTGTCTTAAACTCTAGAGAAGGATTTTTCTTGTGTAACAGAATGAAGAAGTGTGTGTTACCTTAAAAATCCATCTGGCTTAAGTTTATTCACAACTATCCCATGTAAGTGCATATATCTCTAGTGAGGTCCTTCTAGAAAGACAACAATGGCAATTACTTGATTTATATTGGCTTATATACTGTAACGATAGCTCTGAAACAAAGTCTGACAATTCCAGTTCTCAGAATAATGGCTTATCTGTAAAAAATAAGCTTCCAAAATAGTCAGTAATTTTAACATCAGTGTAAAATGTCCCTTTTATCTCCTTTTTAGCATTTTTGCAGGTTTTAAAAAAGTTTATTCTTAAAAACCCTACCAGAAATGCAACCTCTCTGCTCACTTATCCAAGAACCTCTATCTGCTAGGAACTCCTGAGGCTCAGATTTCTCTGTCCCTGCTGCAGGAGCAGTGACCTGCTTGAATTTTCTTTCCATGGTTTCACATAGCTCCCATTCCGCAGCATCTGCTTTACCACCATACTTCCTCCTCTTCTCACAATTTCCTACTTGGCATTTTCCTCTGTTCTGTTACAGCACATTCACCTGCACTCTGACTCCATGTCCTCATCTTCACGCTTGTCTGCCTCTCCTCTGCATCCCTCTTGATCCCTACATTAGTCTCACTCAATTTGCTGTCCCGTTTCCAGGAGCATTTCCCCTCCCTGCTGCTCCCACTGTCTCTGGCATGTCCATATTCTCCTGTCCCCTGCTTGGCCCTCACAGACTAGCTAACAGACCATTACCTTCCCTGATGGCATCCTGTCTTCTGCAAATAACAGGGAGTGGCATCCATCTTCACTGTTTATCCTTACTTGCACGCAGAAACTTTAAATGGATCTGGCAACCAATCTTCTGAGATCAGGTTTGGGTTGGTCCCTGTGTTGGTAATGGGAGATGGAAGGCATTGTACTTACAGATCAAATTGCACAGTTTTGTAAATGAAAAAATTATTAATAATTGTCATAGCCTAAAATTTATTAATAATATATTGATTAAAAACCTCTAGCTAACCTGTTTTTGTGATTCGAGCAACATGAAGGCTGGTGAGGCTGCTGACAGAGATTCTGCACAGCAGTTGCAGAGGTGTGACAGCAGACTCAAGGATGGGACTTTTCCTCTGATATTGATCAGACTGTGCTCCAGTGAAACCCTTATGAAATGTTAGCATCATTTACTGAGCTCCAATCCTAAATAAATGTTTGCCTCCCTGGTTTTCACCCTTCTGTGGAAAGTTGTCCTGTGCTTTGGAACAATTTCTGCCATTTCTGTGACAGCTGTCTTCAAAAACCTAGAAATGGTGGCAACTTCATTATGTTGTCTCTCACTGCGCACAGTAGAAAAGTAATCATGACCTAAAACTAATCACTGGACCTAATTAAATACTTTGCCTTCAGTGACTTCAGGAGCTTCATTTTATTTCTAAAGCTAATCTACCCTTAATGTGTGGGGAAGGAGGACAATAGACCATGTTGTCTCAGTGCAGGCTGGGAATCTCATGCGCAGCGTGGTTTTGCAGTTTTGAATAGCAATCCATCACTGAACAGACAAATAGAGGCTATGGTTTCTTTACAGCAGCTCTTTTTCAACACTAGGATGACATCTGTGCCCTCTGCAAAGGATGTCAGCCTCAGAGAGGGATAGGTTTCAAACACAACTGGGCTTGAGTGGGCTGTTTGCAAGGTGGTTTGAGTGTTATTTTTTCTTCAAGCAACTGGTTCTCCAACGGTGATATAACATTTCTGTCACCCAGAGTTTTCAGCAAGCACATACCAAAATGCGACAGCTAAGTAGTGGATAACAGCAGATGGAGGATCACAGACACAGACACAGAGCTGTATGTCACAGGAAAAACAAGAAATTATATGTAAAACTCCACCTGAAAGCAGAACTGATGCAATGTGTGTGTCAGAGCATTACATAATAATACCTTCTACTGTTGCTCTCTTTGATGAAAGTTTTGACAACAGGGGAAAATATTTGCAAAGATTTGTCTACGGCAAACTGCATTAAATATATATATTATAAAATGAATTTACAAGTGAGTTCTTAAGATACAGCAAGAACAATTTCAAGTTTATTGTACAGTTAAATACTTTGACTCAATATAGTCCTTCAAAGTAGTTGAGTTAAGACTTCATTGTAAAATATACTGTACATTTAATAATCAATGCTGTGTTCTCACAAAGAAAAACCAAAAGTAAAATGTTAATCTAGATTTTCTTGACTATTTCATTCTTTTACTATACAGTGTTTTTCTTCTTCATGGTGACCTTGTTAGAAGTCTGACAGTGTCAGAACATCTGACACTGCAGGTCATTAGGGACCATGCTTTGCCATAATATTACGTAAGATATTTTTCTCTCAGAGAGGACTACAGAGCTTTCTTTTCACTTGCATTTGCAAATAGAACTGTGGGATTATGCATCCAGGTATATGCTTCATTATTTATTATTGTGACATATGTTCTTTGTGTAAATTTGAAAAGGTTTAAATCCATCAGGGAATAGATTTAGCAAAATTTTAATATTACCAATTAACAAGTAGTCTCACTTGTTAAGAGCAATGTCCCTGGAAATAGTGTATCATAATCAAATATAATGAGATAAGAATTCTTCCTAGTAAATAATTTTCTTCTATATTTTTGGTATTTATACTGATAGAGAGGAACATGGCAATTTTTCAGTTGTTTCCTATTGATATGTCCAATTCAATAGCTCTCAGTCACTCATCCTGTGGCCCTGCAGAAGTTATTTGGCAATTCCATAGATTTTTAAGCCATCAGGGACCATTAGATCATCTTGTCTGATGTTTCTGCATAAAACAGGTCAGAGAATTTCATCTAGTCATCTCCTGTATTGAGTGAAGCAATGGGTATTTAACTAAAGCTTGGTTTTATGTCACAAAGTTTACTTTTTTTTTTTTAAATGGGGAATATTTCATACCTAAGCTATGAAGATTCATTAATGTTTCCAAAGACTCTGAGATACTGGGATTTAATGTGCTATAAATGTGAACAGTGGAAATATTTCCAGTGATGACCTAAACAGGATTTTTTAATCAATGTGATGAATTGGATACTGGGACAAATTAATCAGTGGTGTCTCCAACAGGAAGGAGTTTTGCCAATTCAGTCCAAGATTTTCTTATTATAATATTGCTGATAATTTGAAGAAGGAAAGATATACAGTTATAAAATGACATTTTAAAAAATGTTAAAATAAAATATCAAACAGAAGTCAACTTTAAATATTCAGTGTCATTAAATTTAATTAATAAAATTTTCTTTAGATTTCAAGTTAAAAATTCACAGAGATTCTTATTCCTTTTAATCTTCATTAGCCCATGTGTGTGTGTTATTAGTTATTTGTTAGGTATTTCCATAAACATTTGATGATATTAGCAGTGAGAATGTAAAACCAAAATTCTTTAACGCTACTGGGACAATAAAGTGATGCCTGCCTTGCTACATGTGCATGCCAAAGAGTCTCCCTTTTGATGGCATTCAGTTATGGAAGAGCTACTGCCAAGCCTGTCTGAGGCTGCAAAGTGCCTCCCGGTTCCATGCCTGTTCCAGCATCATTGCCACTGCATGAAGCAAAAGTAATTTATACACTAAGGAGTAGGTAGTCCAAGCCATGTTTTCGGACTTCAGTGAATGTGACTTTAGTATGAATTAACCAGGCTTTCTATCGATTGTTTTCAGGAAATCTACCCGAGAAAGCAGAAAGCTTTAGAAAAATATTTGTGTTCACTGATTTGTATTTGTCTTTGCTTTTTTAACAACATTGTGTTTCAGTTTTCCACATTGAACAGTATTGCCCTTGCTACTGAGTCTTCTCTGGATCTTCCTTGAAGAAGTTCATCTTCAAACAGCTTTTGTGAACTTTCTTGATAGTCAGAATTTCAATTTACAACAAATCTCCTTCAGAAGAGGGGGTAGTCAAGGCCATTCTAATTTATTATGTATACTGTCTATTTATATTTACCTAAAGTCTATGTATATTTAGTCTACTTAAAACACACACACAGATGTATTTGCTGAACAAACAGTATGTTCTATCCCAAAGTTACATTTGCAATGAACAGAGTAAAACTTTTAAGTTTGGTAGTACCCATGTGAAGTGAACTATTATGGAGGAGACACTAAAACTGGTGACAATGATTTAAAACTCTGCTCCATCCAAATCTTATTTTTTAAACAAATTAAATTAACAAAAATACTTTTGCTTAGAAATAGTAAAATTTCAGGCTTGTTGCTTTACTTCTGAACAGTTAATATGGCAACATGTCATGGTTTAAGAGCAGCTGGCAACTAAGCACCATGCAGCCACTCACTCAACTCCACACACACCTCTCACCCCAGTAGAATGGGGGGGAGAATCAAAAAAACCACTTGTAGGTTGAGATAAGAACAGTTTAATAATTGAAACAAAGTGAAATATAATAATAATAGGAGTAAATAACAATAACAATAATAATCAAAACAACCAACAATAATAATATAAAACCCAAGAAAAAACAATAGTGAACAATACAATTATTCACCATCTGCTTGCCAGTGCCAGGCCCCCATCTCCAAAAGCTGATCAGCCCCCATCCAGTTTATGTACTGGGCATGTTGTTCTGTGATGTGGAATATCCCATCTCAGCTATGGACCCTCCCATGTTTTTTGTGTTCCTCCTCAGTGGTAGAGCATGAGGCACAAAAAAGTGCTTGACTTAGGATAGACACTACTTAGGAACAACAAAAAGATCAATGTTTTATCAACATTATTCTCATACTGAATCCAAAACACAGCACTGGACCAGCTACTGAGAAGAAATTAACTATCCCACATGAAACCAGTATACAATACAAATAAATACATATAAAATTTAAAGAATTAAAAGGAAGGTAATTTTATTCGTTGAAGATTTACAGATTTTGTAGTTTAAACTTTTGGGAACAAGTAAAATAGCTGGCACTTCTTCATGATCCTGCAGGATCTGCTTCTCTGACCAGTTTGACTCTGATATCCTCTGGAAGCAGCAATAAGTAACTTACTGTCCTCAGGTGACTGCTTCATCTGTTCCTTGGTATTTGAAAAGCTACATCCTTTCTTCACTGTTCACCAAAAGGTGGGGAAGAGGAGGAGGTGACCAGCAGGGTTTTGGGGGCCCAGAGAGACAACCCTATGGGAAGGGAGC